GGTTTAGGTTTCAAGGTTTAGGGTGTTAAGGTTTAGGGTTTAGGGTTCAGGGTTTAGGGTTTTAAGGTTTATGCTTTTTCTCATCATGACACTTCCTGAACCACAGAAAACCCCCTAAATCCTGAACCCTACCCATAGGCCCCATATTAGGGAATCCCAGAAAGGAACTACTATGGGGCCTATGGGGGTAGACCCAGGGGTTTTAGGGTTTAGCGGTTTAGGGGTTTGGGGTTTAGGGGTTTAGGGTTTACCTTAGAGGCCTGAAGTGAAAAAGCAAACTACAGGTGGGGAGCTTAGGGTATATAGGGCTTCTATAAGGCTCCTATAACGGAAACTACCCACCTGAAAATGTCCTAGACTCAAACCTTAGAGGCCTGAAGTGAAAAAAACATACGGTTGATGGTTTGATGGACCCTAAACCCTAAAACCCTTAACCCCCCAAACCAAAAGGTCGCAAAACAACCGTAAACAACCCTTGCACTTGCACAAGGCCCTAAACCCGACAGACCCTAAAACCTAAACCCCACACCCTAAACCCCTAAACCCCTAAACCCTAAACCCCTCAACCCCAAACCCCTAAATGCTAAACCCCTAAACCCTAAACCATCTTTCTGGAACCCGGAAGCCCTAAACCCCTGAAACCTTAAACCCTGAACCCTCTTTACTTTTGGAACCCTAAAAACCCTAAACCCTAAACCCTAAACCCCTAAACCCCTAAACCCCTAAACCCTAAACCCCTGCTTTTGCGACTCGACGCCAAGGAAAAACTCATCTGAGCCAGGCCCCAGCTCTTCGTGCACGGCCTGCGATACTTGGGTTTAGGGTTTAGGGTTTAGGGTTTAGGGTTTAGGGTTTGAGGTTTAGGGTTTAGGTTTCAAGGTTTAGGGTTTAGGGCTTAGGTTTTAAGGTTTAGGATTTAGGGTTTAGGGTTTAGGAGGGTGTATCGAAGAGGAGCCTTGCAACTTAGAGAAAGCTTCGCTTTAAAGGGAAGGTTTAGGTGTCTGTACCCTAAGGGTCCAAGTGCCCAAACAGTAGGGTTTCAGGGTCCAAAAACCATTCAGAGTATGGCTTTTGGGACCTACAACCTTACTATTTGGGTACTCGGACCCTCTGGGTGTAGTGTTTTTTTAAAGGTCTGTAGTATACGAGTCATAATAAGAAAAAGTACTGGGGCATATTGCCTAACGGCGGATAGGCAGGATGGCAACAAACTCATTTCGGCATTGGAGCGCCTGGTCTTTCTTCGGTTTTACCCAAGCATCCAGTGTTATAGCACCAAATTCAACAAATTCTGTGTTATTCCATCGCTGTCGGGGTCTGTCGCGGAGATAATCACATTTGTTGCTGTGGCCTCGTTCGTGCGCACTGGCGCCGTCTCAAGAGCTTTAGGGTTTAGGGTTTTTAGGGTTTAGGGTTTAGGGTTTAGCGGCAGTTTCAATAGTTGACATCTTTAGCGTTAGCTCCCGATGGGGCGTTGTTGTCTTGCCATTTTGCGGTAATGTAATAATGCCTTTGATTACAAATATAGTGTCAACATTTCCTCTCTCTGCGATTGCCCCGGGAACACTTTCTCTGCGCTTGCCCCAGGTTAAGATCTTTCCCTCCTAATTAGGCAGATTAAAACACACTGTTGTGCACTGGGTCGTTGGGTTTCGCTTCATATACACAGCCCAAAACGGTACTTCTGTATCTTTGTGAGAAGTATGGATGGTGTTGTGGGTCCGCGCGCCTGCTTCCGTACTTCGAAGTAGGAAGCCTTTATGCCAATGCATCCTCTGAGCAGGCTATAATGCACTCTGAGGGTCTGTCTTTTTTGTGCAGCAACCTGTCTGTAAGGGTGGACTCTAATACATAAAGACTGGCACGATTGTTGCTGGAAAAAGCTTAACCGTTTTTGGGGCGGCAGGGGTGCTGTTCTAGCCTTGCATTAATCATTAAGCGCTGTCGAGGGCAGTAGTTCCTTCGCCGGACATCGCCGTGAAATCGGACGGTACTTCTGTATCTTTGTGAGAAGTATGGATGGTGTTGTGGGTCCGCGCGCCTGCTTCCGTACTTCGAAGTAGGAAGCCTTTATGCCAATGCATCCTCTGAGCAGGCTATAATACACTCTGAGGGTCTGTCTTTTTTGTGCAGCAACCTGTCTGTAAGGGTGGACTCTAATACATAAAGACTGGCACGATTGTTGCTGGAAAAAGCTTAACCGTTTTTGGGGCGGCAGGGGTGCTGTTCTAGCCTTGCATTAATCATTAAGCGCTGTCGAGGGCAGTAGTTCCTTCGCCGGACATCGCCGTGAAATCGGACGACGATGGGTCGCTCTCGAACAGATGCTTCCCTCTCCAATGCATGAGCACGGGCCACTGCTTTCGCCACCACCATCTTGGCAATTCTACATGCCTTGTCGCAGATCATGTCCGAAACTTCTACGAGCCGCTTGAATTTCGGATGGCAGCAATGGTGCCTGCATGGCAGCTGCAGGAGCACATCTACTTTCCAATCCGAAGAGCTGCTTGGCGCCGCTGACAAGAGGCAAAAGCTCTTGCGAGAAGGCCGCGAACAAAGCGTGCCCATGCCTCTGCTTCTGCACAACTGCAGGAAGAGGAAGATGAAGCGCTTTGTCGACCGGGCACCGCAGATACCCATACATCATATAGATATATTGGATAGCCCCGAGGAATAGTACTACTGCTTAATGCTTAAACGGCTTATGGTGTTTATGAATTGGTTTCGGGTTTAGGGTTTAGAGCAAACGTGGTTGCGGGTCGAGGGTTTGGGCTTCGCCGTTTGTTACCGCCCAGTCTGAGAGTATGCATGTACCCTTAACAACATCATTCTACACTCAAGCTATACCCAGTAATAAGGCATCCTACTTAGCCCCACGAACCTCGAATTAGACCCTAAACCCTAAACCCTAAACCACAGACATTGCAAGCACAGTTCGAGCCTGAACTGCTACAAAGGCACCAAGCCGTCAAGTGACTGCTCTCTAGGTCCGAGCGGCCTCTCTTAAAAGGAACATAGAACCCCCTCAAAAAATACATATATATATATATATAAACACCCTGAGAATCTGCGGATATCTAACCTTTCGCTTAAGGCAAGACTGTTATCATGAGTGGGTAATTATGAAACCTGAAATCCTAAACCCTGGTATAAGCTCTGTTTCACATGACATTGGTGCCTCATCGGCACGGCGGTTGAAGAGCTGTGGATATGGCCTCCAATGTAGTCGGTTGGGCTCTGGGTTCCGTGTTCCATAAACTTACTTGTCCCGTATCCTAGGGATTTAAAGGCTAACCTTTGGGACATATATAGGGATGATAATGCCGAAAAAGTCTAAAGGTTGCCTCCGAGACTACTAAGTGCCTTGAGGCCCACACTGCATTCAAAGCCCCTAAAGCACACCTGACACCCTTCTTAACCCGGCTGAATCCCAAGCCATGTGTTTAGGGTTTAGGGTTTAGGGGTTATCCCCAGCCCTCAGCCCCTGAAGCCCTGGCCAGTCGACCACCCGATAAGGATTGCTTTCAGCCCGAAGCAAACATTTTGTGTCCGATAGTTTTTACCCAGAGAACCCAACAGCCCTTTCTTCAATATAACCACAGGGGCCGAACATACTGACTTAAGGTATATTCCTTGATTAAGGGGTGCAGGGCACTCTGGGGAAGTGTTTGGCAAGTCCTGCACCATAGAACCCTTCCAAAACGCGGCCAAACCTTGACAGCCTAGGCTCTTAACAAAATCAGTTCCTATGCCTCTGTACAAAACCTTGTCAAAACCTCATAACAACAAACCTTTAAAACCAAAGTATCCCAGAGGTGCATATATACCACCATTATGGAATCAGGGCCCTCATGACCATCCTTACCATGGTTTTGGGGCACCAGTTTCCAGAATAGTTGCATCATACTGAAACCTCAAATCCTCAACCCTAAACCCAGTATATCTAAACCCTAAACCCTACACCCCTAAACCCTTAAAAACCCTGAAGATCTAGGGGACCCTCTTGGGATTAATATAGATGCCCAGATAATTAGCAACACTATTGCGGAGGTTCCTTCTTAAAATTATAGGATACTATACCCCAAAACCCTATTCTAATTATTAAGGCCCCTAGATTAGGTCAGATTCCTAGATAGCATTAGGGAGACCCCATTAAAGCCTACTCATGGGTCTCTTATAAGGGAGTTATACCCCAAAACCATATTCTAATTATCAACCCAGACCCCCAAAAGGATCTAAAAAATAGATCCCCTAATTAGGGACCCTAACTACTAATGGGTACTTTAAAGGAACCCCTTTACGGGATCTATTTTTTAGATCCTTTTGGGGGTCTGCGAAGGCCTCTATTATATCAAGAACACAACAGCATGAACTCTCTCTGCCGCCTGGCGCGCCGGACCCTGAGGATGTTTGTCAAGTCGGGTTCTCCGATTTTGCTTTGGGTTTGGGGGTTTAGGGTTTGGGGTGTAGGATTTTCGGGGAATGGTGCAGGTGCTTACGGATTTAGGATGTGTTTTGAGGTCCACGCTTAGAGCTTACGGGGTTGCGGGCTGTAGGTTGTCGAATCAGTGTAGAATTCAGCATGGCTTGGGGGTCTAATATAGGGGCCTATAATAACTAGAGTAGAGTTTTGGGGCCCATTATATACTATAATTATAATAAGGAGTCCCCAAAAAGAGTATAGGCAACCACCTAGAAGGCCCCTACATTAGAGAGATTCGGAGTTCGAATCTGTCTGCTTTACGCCCTAGGGTTCAGAGCTCCAGGGTTTAGGGTTCAGGGTTTAGGGTTTAGGGTTTAGGGTAAGTTGCTTTAAGTCGTTCGGTGTGTTTTGGGCTTTAGGCCTTAGTCTAATAGAGCTTTGGGTACAGGATTGGTTATAGTACGTCACTATCAAGTCTTGGGCCTTCGGGCCACCTACTATGTGCGGGCATCAAAGGAATTTAAGCCATGTTTTGGGGGGCATCGGTGCTTGTGGCTTGAAGTTGGGATGGGAGGTAGGCTCGGGAGAGCAGTAATGACAAAACACAGCACCAGCACCGAAGACTGTCTGGTGCTTAGTAAGGAATGGGGGAATGGATCCCTATGATAGTCCCTTAAGGTCCCTTATAGTAGTCCCTGTAACCCATTCCCTACTAAGCACCAGCACCGAAGAGCTTCGGATACGTCCGAAGATCTGGTTCTAGGGTTACCTGTAATCGAAAAAACTTGCCTTCTCGGGGTTCCTTATTCTGGTTTCTATCCATATATATATATATATGTGTATATCTATATATATATAGATATATATTTACATACATGTAACTTCTGAAAAAGGTAGGGTTTTGGGCCACAGGTAGGGCTTACGGATGCTTCCTAACCCCTAAACCCGATGTGTGTGTGTGTGTATATTTATATATATACATATATAGATACACCTAGTTATATATGCGTATACTCTTATATATATATATAAACCAATAAATAAATAAACAAATAAATAAATAAATAAATAAATAAATAAATAAATATATATATATATATAAATATATCATTAGGACCCTATGGGTGTGTTCTAGGGTTACCTGTAATCGAAAATCCAATCCGAGCTTCGCATGGCCCAAGCCACGGTGGCGGGTCTCCAGCTGCTCCTCCGGATGCACACGGGGCTACCATAAGTCATACCCAGAGGGTCCGGGTACCCAAATAGTAAAGTTTTGGGTCCCCAAATCCATACACTGAATGGTTTTTGGACCTTGAAACCCTACTATTTGGGTACTTGGACCCTTAGAGATAGGGTTTAGGGTTTAGGGTCGGGCTCTTT